TGTTATTGTCATTACACGACACATACATACAAAGGAAGTGCCAGTGGGTTGCTAAACTTGAACCCCATGTCTCTCTGACATGCATACCTGCCTCTCTACACAGATCAGTCTATTTATGTTGGCGCTGAGGTTCTTACATTGGTGCCTATTAACAGAAATACCTTGTAAAATATGACACCATATAGTCTGGTGTACCAGTGGATCCTACTGCTGAGCAAGCTGAGAGGGCAGAACTATCTATGTGTTGCTGGTAGCTTGCTTCACTTACTCTTCAACTGTGAAGATGGAAGCAGCAAATTTCTCAAAATTACTGATAAACTTCATACAGTGTCACATTCCACAAGATTGTACTCTTCACAGAAATGTTACCTTTCTGTCAAGATGAGCTAGTTGTGATTCTTAATGTGTACTGCAAGAAGGGCCTTGGTGATGAATCCTTTGCCACACATGTTACATTCATATGGTCTCTGTCCTGTGTGAGATCTCATGTGCACCACCAGAGGTGTGCGTTGGCTGAAAGACTTTCCACATTCCTTACAAGTATGGGGTTTCTCACCAGTGTGCGATCTCATGTGTCCTTTCAGATATGTTGGGCAACTGAACTCCTTTCCACACACCTGACAGATGTATGGTTTCTCCCCAGTATGACGGCGAAGATGGATCTTCAATGCTACAGCACTACCCACACATTTTCCGCAAAAGTTGCAAATGAATTTAGACTTGTCTTCATGGATCTTTCTGTGAGCACGAAGCCTGGCCATGTACTGAAAAGGCTTTGCACAAACATCGCAAGCATACCTGTCTATTTTCCTGTTTGGATCATGGATCTGAAGATGTACAAGTAAGTTTCCCTTCTGAGAGAAACCCTTTCCACAGGTCTCACATTGATGTTTTTCTCCTGTGTGACCTGCACAGTGTCCTTGCAGCTCAGGATTGGTGTAGAAGCCCTTACCACAGATTTCACAAGTGAATCTGTAGTCTCGAATGTGTCTTTTCTTATGTAAGGAAAAAGAATCCTTATGTGAAGATGTAAAGTTACACATGTCACATTTATACTTCTTGTCTGAAGAATGACGTTCCTTGTGGTTTTTAAGTTCAAATCTCCATTTGTAAGTTTTGTGGCAAATTTCACATTCAAATGGGCGCTCACTGGCATGAGAAACCATGTGCTTTTTCAATGATTTCAGATTTGAAAATGTTCTTCCACAAATCTTGCA